GCCGCCCGCTCTGGCGACGAGAGAGGCCACGGGCAAGGACTGAACCACGCCGCCTAGGAATCTATCACCGAAAGGAATTCACTGTGCCGCTCTATCAATACTGGGTTGTGTGGTGCGTCGGCGGCGGCTCTCCGACTGTCAAGCACGGCGACAAGGGCGAGGCCGAGCGGGAGGCCGAGCGTCTCGCGGAATTGAACCCCGGCCGCCGGTTCGCAGTTCTGGAATGCGTCGGCGAAGTGCGAAAAGCGACGACGCTCTGGGACTACCCGGAGGAACTGCCGGAGCTGCCGTTTTAGCTGAGGATTCTTCACGCCACGGACCACGGAGGTTGGCGAAGCGATGGCGAAGCGTTTCACAGAGACCGGCAAATGGTCCGACCCCTGGTTCCGGCGACTGAACCCCGCGGAGAAGTGTGCGTGGGGCTGGCTCACTGACAACTGCGACCTAGCGGGGGTGGTGGACCTAGATTCCGAGCTGGCGGAATTCCAGATCGGGGAGGCGGTCGACTGGGCGGCCATGATCGCCAACAGCGAGGGCCGCATCGTTGAACTGGAGAACGGCAAACTGTGGCTGACCAAGTTCGTGGCGTTCCAGAATGGCGACCTGGACGCCGATTCCAAGTCGCCTGCCGTCCGCGCAGTTGTCAAAGCTCTTGAAAAACATGGACTACTTGAAGGGTACGCGAAGGGTACTAGTACCCTACAGGGCAAGGGCAAGGGTAAAGGCAAGGGAAAGGGTAAGGGCAAGGGCAGCGAAGATGCAGAGCCCGAATCGCCCGCCGATGACCCGACCACGGAACTGGACCGCATCGAAGACCCGAAGCTGCGGCAGGCGGTCGCCGACTGGTGCGACTACAAACGCCGCAACCGCTCAGCTTACGATTCTAAGGCCCTGACGAAGCTTGTGAGCCGCGTTCTCAACGTGGCGGGGCAACACTCGCCCCAAGCGGTCGCCGACGCTATGGAGCGTGCTGAGGCGTCCCAGTGGAAGGGCTGGGAGCACGACATCGGAAAGCCCGCCCGCGGCTCCCCCGCCCCACCCCGGTCCCGCGGGCAACTGGCGACCGAACGATTCTTAGCGAGGCACAGCGATGGCGAGTCCCAAGGAAGTGGCGTTGGCGGTCAATCTGATCTACGGCGCCTGCGGTCGGGAACCGGGTGAGGGCGTGCTTGAGGCTTACCAGTTCGCCCTGCGAGAGCGGACCGACTACCAGCTTGCCCTGGCGGTCGAGAACGAGCTGCAAGGCAAGTCACACGAGTTCCCGATCACCGCGCAGGGCCTGCGGGCCTTGGCGGGCAACTACCCGCGGAGCGAGGCCGAAGCGGAGGAGCGGCTGCTGCCGGCGCCGGCCGTGGTGTCGGATTCATCAATGACCGTCCGCGAGTGCATGTTAGACCAGATCCGCAAGCACATCCGAGAAGGCCACCCGGCCAGCGACTTCTACCGCGACCTGCTGAGAGACATCAACGAGATGCCGGAACACATCAATCCCGCAACCCAATTGCTGAATA